TCCTTTTCCTCCCCCTCCCCGCCAATTTTTTGAGGGGACCCAAAAAACGGAGTCTCTTCCCTTATGCAACTTCCTCGGGCGCTGTAAGCTCGGCCCTTCCCCCTCGCTGCATCCTTTGGCCAGCTCCTTTACCACCTCGGGTCCACCGCCAGAAAAATGCATTAGAGATCATTCAAAGTGCACAGGAACAAAAATAGATTTTTAATTGTTCTAAGTTTAAGCAAAAGGAAACCGAGATGAGAAATAAGAATTGGAGGCGGGGGTGGTGGTAGGTTGGGGCTAGTGCGTCGAATTTTAATTTTGATTTTCTTAAACAGTGTGTGTGATCTTTTCACTGGTTTAGAGAGCCCGAGAGTCTCTTAACTGGCTAGGTCTGTCGCGTGGATTTTTGCGCAAGTTTTTAGAAAAACACTGACTCGAGTAGAGCATTTCTCCGGAAAGTTTCAAGTGCAGCAAAATAGCGAACGTGCAAAACTGGCCAAGGGGAGACCTCTAGTGGTTAAACGCATCTTAAGTTCGGAAGGCCGAGAGCAAAGTTTGGCCTTCACTTGTAGTTTACGTAGTCCCTTCAGACGTGGAAGTAATTACAGGACCTGAACCAGCGGCCAGATGTTGTGTGAAAGGATGCAGATCAGAAATGGAAGTTTAGCAAAACGGAGTGCAAAAGATTTCTGAGGACCCAGACCTTGTAACTTGTATTCCTTGTTACTTCTATGGGAAAAACACTTTGCTTTTATTCCGAGACATGAAATTGTTCGCTCCCTGGACTGGGAACAGTTGTTTGTTGTTAAAATGTACGGTTTTCTTATAACTTTGATCAACTTTTAGTCAGAAGTCACAGCGGATAATTTCATTTTCAGTGTCAATAAAAATCCAAAGTGCAATATGTGTTTAAACTTAAATGAAAAAGAGTGAAAGTGGTTAGTTATAGGAGCTGCTCATTTTACTTCCCAATAAATATAATTTAAGGCTGGTTTTTGATTTCTCAGATGTAAAGTTACATATATGTCATAGGTTAAGGAGTCTCGTAGTAACTTTGTTTTACTGTGTAAGACATGATTTCTGAACACTGCTTATGTTGTGATTTATACACAAATATATGGGCAAAACTGCATACATAATACCTACTCTTTTGCTGTGTGTATTCAGTACAATATCCTTAATTTTAAAGATAGAAGCAGTGAGAGAATTTACCATTTTTCAGTGTCCATGTAGCTCTCATCTGCTTGTCATACAGTCAGGAACTTTATTGGGGGGATTCAGGCAATGGTATGAATCATCAATCATTTTCACTTGAGAATGAGTTTATTTTTATTGTTTAATTTTTTATTGTTTGAAGTTGCATAGTAAGCAGGTGATTCAAAATTTTTATTCATTGTGGATTTGAAGCCTTCTTTGTTATGATAATGCCTTGATTTTACCTTTCCTCTTTTAAATCTGTGCTAGACTTTGAGGAGAATTCTTGGGGGTAGACTGCAATCATAAAGACCACCAGACATTACTGTCTTCCTTCACCAACAGTAGGTAAGATTTTCTTGTTGAAAAAAGTTGCTTTAAACTTGCAAATATTAAAAGCTACATTTCGGGATCTAGTGTGAGAGGACATTGGCAGAAAAACATTTTGTGGGGCTTGCTTTCATGAAAGTCGACCCAAGTGTGATTAAGACTAGAGTAAATACTAGGCGTTGTCCTGGATAATCTTATTGGATTTGTAATTAGCACTTAACTTGCACCTGTTATCTCCTGCTAGGTAATTGGGTTAGTCTGTGGAATTCAAGCAGTGGGAAAATTAGAATACAGCAGTTGTAAATTGATATGAATATTGTAAAGGTACACTGTGATATGGAAGATTCTGGAAGTTTCATTGTCTTTGGGATCCCATGGTAAAATTACACAGGTGGAATTTGAAATTGATGGTATTTAAGTATCAACTCCTGTGACTTAAATCAAGTGTGGGCAGACTTGTGCCAGAAACATGTCATAGGGTTGTAGCGAGTGTCCAGTGAGGTAGCATAGTCTGGTCAACTTTTGAACATACCTTTATAGGGAATACAGCTGGAGGGTGTTCATCTGTGTGCACTAATCCAGAACCAACTTTCAGGACATCAGTGCATCATCTTAGAGGAACAGCCTCTGGGGTAGAGCATTTGCATACACTCCTCCCTCTCCAGTACTTTCTGATGTTTTTATCTGTTTTGCTTTTCTTCCCCCGCCCCCTTTTTCATCATTCCCTTTATTGCTTCTTTTCATTTTCTTTTTCTGTCTTAAAGTCATTGCTTACTGTTGTATGGCAAAAATAAGAGAAATTGGCCTTACCTTTTAAAAGTAGGGTTAGTAATCCTCATCGAGCAGGCCTATAAACAAGGTAATATGGTTTAGAAGTCAAAACTGTTAATTACCAAGATGGAAGTGGTCATTGAATGAGTTTATTGTCAGTTTTTGCCTGTGCGTGTTCTTACATAGTGTAGTTAGCAAAATAGATGTGGTCCATGTAGATTACAGATTAGAGACAACGAGGGTAAGTGTCGTGCAGATAACAAGTAGAGTTCAAGCAGAGGAAACTACCTTTGGGATGATGAGTTTTGTTTTGCGTGTACTAAATGGAAGGCAGATGATTTTTCTTCATGTTGAGAGTCTTGTAGGTGTGAGTAGACTGTGAGAATGGTGATCACAAGACAAATGAGTCATTAAATAGACCCCCTGAGTGGACATTTACAGTGTAAGTCACTGTATCTCAGTTTGGATTTGCCTGTCTGGAAAATGGGTGCAGAGTGATTGCCTTGATTCCTTTGTTGAAAGGATAAAATAAGATTTTGAGAGCTATTAAGAGTTATTCAAAATGTTTGGTAGTCATTCTACCCTTGAATCTTAGTCACATGTTGTGAAGGAAAGGAGTTTGGTTGTGTAAGGCAGACCAGTGTGATTTAATTCATGGCTAAAATCATAAGAGTGGTTTCTGGTGTGTTTGTTATAAGGCGTTGTCATACTTACAGAGAATTTTTTTATTCAGTGAAAAAAAAACAATTATCTTTTACAGTATTGACTTCTTGAGAAGACAGACCATTTTTAAAAAAGATTTATTTATTTTTGCATACAGAGGCGTGGGGGATGTGAGAGGATTCACCAGAAACAGAGTAGGGAGCAGAACAGGCACATCGACAAAGTACACTGCTGAGGGGAGCAGTGGGCAAGACAGGAGAGGTCTGCTGTGCCATGTGGATCACCTTCTGGGCTGGGGAATCAAACTTGTATTAAAACAGTTGCAACTAGCTTGTAGTGCTGCGTCCTAATCCGTTGCGCCACCTGGGAGGGCCCAGACCATGTTTTAATACAGTGCTGAGACCATGTTTTAATACAAACTGGGACTTATCCCAAACTAGTCACTTGATTAGGAGTAAATGAAATAAGTACTGCAGATTTAAAATGATGTTTATTTGTGGAAATGGTAGGGTAACAAAAGTAGCAATGTTGGTGTGAGGGGAATTCTTGTGCTGTAATTAATATTTTAATTGTCTGAGTCTGGTGGGAAATGAGAATGAGAAAATAGGTAACTGGGATAGTAAGGATTTAAAAACTAGGGGCTGGAAACTGGGTTCTGCAAATGACTGTGGATTTAAGGAAAGGTCCATGTAGGACTTTTTTCTGCTGTGTTTTTTACACCCCTTTGCTACGTTTTTCCAATTATAATGGGCTATTATCTAGATAGAAAAAGAAAAATCCCTAAGTACTATCTGTCATTATTAACAATTTGACAATACCGAACATGAAAAAAACTGAACCCTGACAAGTTTTAGTTTTGTCTCCCTTCTCTTGTAGGTTATCCAATCAGTGTTCTAAAGAATCCAAAACCCAGTAATGGAAGAGAGAAGAATATATGTTCTGTTTAACTAGTCCCTTAGTAAGTGAGGTTTAATTCTTGAATGGTTTGTTTGGAAATTTATTTCTAAGAAATATATCTTGTAACCAGTGCTACTTATAATAGATAAAATTAGTGAGAAATTTAGAAGAGGAATTACCCTATGCGTTGGAGAAAAAGGTTACCAAAGATTTGTAATCTGAGCTATCCCTCTATCTATGTTTCTACAAGTCAACCAGTTTTTCTAGAGCTCCTTCAGGACACTATGAGACTAGGTGTTTGCCCTTGAGGCATATTTTAGACACTTACCCCACGCATAAGCATAACCCTGAGCTCTGAAAATAAAAGTATTACCATTACACTTTGTGCCAAAAGAAAAGATTAAAGGCTCTAGCACCCTTGAGCCAGGAATCATGGATTCTTGCGTTAACTGGTATAGGATCATAGCATATAATTGTATGCATGTAGCACAATACACTATAATACATACCTCTTTCAGTTCTTAGCCTTTGGAAATGAATCACATGCTTTTTACCCATTGTAAGGCAATGCCTGAATTGTAAAACCAGTGATGGGATGGATTTGGGCTGATTCTTTCCTTCTTTGACTGGTGTATTCACAAAGGTGACTGTCTGTTAAGATCTATTCTTCTGCTGTCCCAGCTTCCTAATATTGAGGAACTTGTTCCTTGCAAAAGTGTGGAAGAATGTGCTATTTAAAGATAATTATCTACCTGTTTTTATGTGCATATTTATGTGCACATTTATACATTGTGTCTTAAATTTCAGGGTATCTGTAGAAGATATATTTTGAAAAGAGTTTCATTATCTAGTGGGAGTATTCTCAGGCTATCTCTTTACTGTGTTAAGTTAGATTATTTCATTGACATGTGTAGACATGGGTCAATAATGGCAGATTATGAACTAATTTGTATTGATTTTGAGAGCTATGCTGCAAGTGGCTGAAAGTAAACACCAGGAAAGGTGTTTGAAATAAAAGTAAGTTTGATTTATGAAGTCAAATTGGGAAAGAACTTTAGGAAATCCCTATTTAAGAAAGAGGATGATTTAGAGAAAAAACAAAGACTTTGAGAGGAGGTACATTAAAGCTGGGTGATATGAAATGAGGGAACTTCTGACAAGCCCAATTTCTTTCTCAAAAGTGAATTCAGAATTAATGACTTGGATGGTGATTAGGAGAATTACATGTGTGTTCTGTTAATAGTGAAATACCTTCTGTACTTTTCATTCTGTAAGTCAGTGTTGTGTCACTTGACACAGTTGCTGAATATGTACTTTGTCACTCTTGGGGATTGTGTTTCATGATCAGTACTTAAAACAGTTGAATGAATGAATGTTTTGGGGATACAAAGAATAAATAGATTTATAGTCTCAGTGTGTTCATAATCTAGCTGAGATCCTGATCCATACACATAAAGTAATTAAAGCAGAGCTAGGGTTCTGTATGAATGGTGGGTAGAGATAAGTGCAGTGGTAGGTAGAGTGGTAGTGCTGGATGTGGTATTAAACCTGTTCCCAAGGTGGGCACATGGCAGATAGTGTCATCTGAAAACACTATGAAGTGTTAATGTTTGGGGGGTAATTGTATGCTGAGTACCTTCTGAAGGTGAAGCATCAAACTAGATGCTTTCTAATCATCCATCCATATACCACCCAGCAAATGCTTCCCTCATTCCCATCTGCATGCCTAGGTACTTCTTAGGCACTGAATAGTGTATCTGATATTTTCACTAACCTTGAACATTAGGTATTAGTATTTCTTTTGAGTGCAGACTGGTACTGAGAGGTACTTACTGTCTGATTTTTACATTATGTAGTTTTGGAGCCAGGGTAAATGATAATGACTTATTATGTCTTTAGATTTCTGATTTTTTCAAGATAATAATTCCTAGAATATTTCTAAGAAAATACATTCACAGAGTAATGTTTTGCTCTTAAGTGTTAGTAGCCTAACATGAACAATAGTGAACAGGTATAGGAAAAAAATTATGGGAAGAAAACTCTCTGTATTGTTTTTTGTAACCCAAGAATTCTGAAGAGAACAGTTGTTGAATTATATGGAAAAGAGTAACTTTTCCATGTTACTCTAACTCATGACCTTGAAATGATTACAAACTGTTAACAAAATATTATTCAGATTAAATTTAGAAATCACTGGACTTATTTATAGAAAGTTTTCATTTGTTTTTTGTATGCGGAGACCTAATGAGGCAAGTAGTAGTGTCAAAAAATGTCAGTGAATCAATCAGGATGAGATGTAAATTTATGAAAGTGAACTTAAAAGATGATAGAATTGGGCCCTCCCTGGTGGCACAGCGGGTCAAAGCACTGCACTAAGAAGTGTAAGCCACTTCTGCAAGAGTTAGATCCCCGCCTGCCCTGGAGGAGATCCACATGGCGTGGCAGACCTCTCCTGACCCGCCCGCTGCTCCCCTCAGCAGTGTACTTCGTCAATCTGCCTGTTCTGCTCCCCTCTCTGTCTCTGGTGAATCCTCTCACCCTCCGCATCTTTAATAAATAAATAAATAAATGATAGAATTTATGCAGAAGCTATGATTATAAAAGAAAATGACAATGAATGATCGGGATAATGGAGGGGAGAAACTGGGGGCTAGGGGAATATAATATACTACATAATTAAATGGAAT